CCTTATGATAAATTTTGATTCGACCCTCGGGTCCCTTATGATAAATTTTGATTCAACCTTGCAATTGTACCTAACATTTTATCATTTGCTGCAGGGTACAGCACAGTTGGTGTGCGATGACAACACATTCTTCGATGGCGAGTTTGCAGGTCATTGTCAATTAGCAGGAAAGGTACTGTATACAATTATATAAAGCTCTTCAACTGTCGGAGTTTCAGTCTCTCCCCGTTCCCCCCTTCTACTCTATTTTGTACTCCTCGAGGTTCTGTAACTTCAGATATAAAAAGAAAAGGAACTTTCATGATGCGAGGGTCTTTAAGGGTTAAAGAAGGCAACTGATTAGTATTGGTAATCGTATGGATTAGAGCAGTTTTCGTATGACCGTGAAAAGCTCACTGCACGAACACGGTCGTGACRCGGCAAGGGATACGCCARACCAATCACTTTGCACGAGAACTTACTCTCCATCCAATCAAATRCCCGGAACATGGCATGAACATGGCGTGGACACGGTCACGGCAATGCCAGACCAATCACATTGCGCGTGAAGAAAATCAGCCAATTCAGCTAACTGCACTGAGCTTTTCACAGTCATACGAAAACTGCTCTATGAATTTATTTCATTTATATATTAAAATTATAGATTATTTCACGAGTTTTTTCATTGTTTTGAAAATCTCCTACTAAAACATTTATTTTCTCATTATTCACTACACTCAATTCAAAACCAAGGAACTAACACGGTTTTTTTGTTACTGTTACGTAACAAAGTGCTGTTGTTGAAGGAATGTGCATATTCGGAAACAATTTAGGAATGATTTTCTCAAATATATCTCGAAAATAAAGCGACTTAAAATGTGTGTTTTTTTTATATTAATTCTGGTTCGTTTTTGTTTTTGTTTTTTTTTTCGTCGCAAACTTCCGACCTTCGCAATTAAAACGTCGCATAAATTTCATGCAATGAGATAGTTCTTTCTATTTCTTTGTCAGGGAACCCTTACATTACCTAATGGTGATGTGATTGATGGTGCCTTCACCGGTCAGTGGGGTGATGGTATCAAGATTAATGGCACTTACTTGAAGCGAGAGTCTGACAGTAATTCCAGAAACAAGAGGTAAATAATACAGAAAAAATAATGAAAAATAGAACTTTTTTTAGTTGATCCACACTTTTTCGTACTGCAGTATCGTATCTACGGGTCTTGCCAAGGGTGTGCATTCTGTAAGACAGTTCCCTGCGTTTCCCACTCATACGATAACCATTCCTATGGAAAGCCATTTYAATGTTACGGCATGTCGTATTTTGTACGTAGCTGTATAAGTCAGCACAGTGGGAAACCCAGTCATACGATAAACATTCTTATGAGAAGCCATTTATATGCTATGGCATGTAGTACTGTATATGTGCTGTATAATTAGTCAGCACTGTACGTTTTCCACTCATACGATAAACATTCTCATGGGAAGCCATTTATTTATATGCTACGGCATGTTGTACCGTGTACGTACTGTAAGTCAGCACTGTACGTTTCACACTCATATGATAAACATTCTTATGGAAAGCCATTTATATGTTATGGCATGTCGTACTGTATATGTGCTGTAAGTCAGTACTGCATGTTTCCCTCTCATACGATAACCATTCTTAAGGGAAGTCATTTTACAGTAAATGTTACGGCATGTCGTACCTTGTACATGCTGCAAGTCATGTACCTGCATGTTTCCCACTCGTAAAAAAAACTAAAAATAAGGAAAACCCCATTATTTTTGGCACAGTGTCGTTCCTGAGGTCAAGCCTATAGTGTCACCTGATCGGAAGTGGACAGCTCTGTTCAGGCAGTGTCGGGAGGCACTTGGTTGTCATGGTGATCGTGACGCTGACCCTCAGATTGTCTGGAAGTGTTTATCAATGGCATTACTGAACGGTCACCACGTCAAACTACCACGGACTGAACAAGACATTATGCAGGAATTACTAAACGTCAATAATGAGATGGAAAGAACAGGAAGACATTGTCTTGATAATAAGGCATTACAGAATTATCTAGCCAAGGTCAGTTAGTTGTGTCAAGGACCATTTTCGAGTTCTAAGTTACCGCTGTGTTCCTTGTTTGCAGACTCATTTACTCAGGGTTAGCCTCGTATCAGTGTCTAAATATTCACAAATACCGTAAGTAAAGATTCCACAACTTCAACAATACAAACACTTTGAAATTCCACAGATCTTCACTGGAAAACATGGATATTCTGCACAAAGTCGAGGCTAACCCTGATCAACAGAGAACTTGAAACTGGAGTATCGTAGATAGAGCATTCAACGTTACAGCCTTGGCAATTAAGGCTGGAGTAGGGTACTGTGCATTTGCCTCTCACCTCTGGGGTCTCTAGTTCGATTCCTGAACTCAGCATTCCATGTAGAGTTAGTTGTGTCTTTGCCTAGATTCAAGGTTGTTTTTTTTATCGAATCTTCCCTTTTTATCGGATCGGACCACCATGCTTTCCCGTCTGCTTTGCCTGATGATGATACGTGTCAACCATTCCGAGGTTAAGGAAAATACTGGGTCGAGTTTGCATTTCAGTGCATTGTGGGGCTGTTTTAGGGAACGAAATATCCGCCATCTTGGAAATATGTCTCCTACAAAAGTCCCACAATGCACTGCAATGCAACTCGACCCAGTTTTTTCCTCAACCRCGGAATGGCTAATAAAGCATCAGCTTCCTGTAAGTCCTCTGCTCCTGATAATCAATAATGTCAATGTATCATTTATTTAAGGCCTTTGAAATCAACTATCATCCACTGGGGCAACTAGTGACGAATCTTGTAGATGTGTACAGGGCTACCTATGTGGGTATGGGTACCCATAGACGATTATTACCTCATGCGGTACTGGAGGCTAAGTCTATCATACACAGACTCTATAATATTATACGGTGAGTTTGTGAGTATGAATCTTGTAGACATGTACAGGGCTACCTATGTTGGTA